CGCCCTACCCCCACCCCACCCAGGTCCGGCCGCTCGTCCAGATCAAACAGCATCTGTCCATCCCCGGCCTGGGGTCAACCGCCACCTCTCCCGCCAGTGGCCCACGACCCACCAGCCCCACACAGTCGGGCTCGGCCCACGATAATATGTTCAACGTGTGCGTGGCGTTTGCAGCCGAGAGGTGGGCTGGGAGGAGGAATGGTGAGTGCGTTTGTGTTTTTTTTTTCTCTTCTCTTCCTGATCACATCATATTTCAGGTACGGGATGCCCTCCATTACCTGTCACAGCTTTGGGAGTTTGTCGGTAGTGATTGTCTGCTGTACTGACACGGCATCTGTTAGAAATACCTTTTGGCTTTGGGTGTCTATAGACGGTGAAAGATCTTTCTTGTCAGTTTGTCAGTGTTTGAGCGCTTAATCAGCTGCTTGCACTGTATGCTTCCCAGGAAGCTGAGAATGTTTCTGAGTGTTCTATGGTCTGCTGGTGTAATGATATAGTGTAAAGCACATAGAGTTTGCCGTAGAGCGGGATAATTCGCTATACAAATGCTATTTATTATTATTAGTATGTGTTGCCACGTTTATAATCGCCTCCATCTCTGCCCTGTAGTTTGTACTATACTGCCAGGTTGGGGCTGCCTCTGCTTGGCTTGGCATCATCCATTTGGGAACGATATGTACACTCCTGCTGTCTTTTCACAGCAAATCTATGTGTATAGATCTTTTTCCATGCTTCGAGGGGGTATCTTTCTTCAAGCATGGATAGGGTACGAGTTTTCTTGCTCAGGTTGCTGTGGTCGTCTTTTGTAGTGAACACAGGGACAGAAGTGTGAATAGTTGTATGTTTTTTTTAATGTGAATATTTTGTACTGTGACCGTGTGTCATCTTATGAGAGTGTGTTATGTTATAATAAGAGAACATTTGTATCCTGCCTTTCCCCACAGCATGGGCCCAAGGCGTACATAGGAGATTAAAAATGCATTCATACAAACACCATACAAATTCATCATGTGCACACTTTTTGACAGCAACATTCTTTCAGACAATAAAAAATGCTCATAAAAAGGGCAAAGGTACTGTTCATTAATTAAAATAGATGTGTTTTGAGTCCCCTTTTGAAGGTATCAAGTTTTATTTCGCTTCTCAAATCATGAGGGAGAGTGTTCCAAACTGTTGGCCCAGAAAAAGAAAAAGCTCTCTCACCATATTTCTTCAGTGACACACGAGGTGTTGAAATTAGTCTAGAGCCACTGGATCTTAGTTCCCGTGATGGTGTGTATGGTACAATGAGTTCTTGAATGTATGTGGCAGACCGGTTAGTTTGACCTTTGAAGCATAGTAGGGCTAACTTATATTCAATTCTCGCTTTCAGTGAAAGTCAATGGAGCTCTTTAAGTAGTGGAGTCTCATGATGGTGTTTTGATTGCTTTAATACTATCCTGTCTGCATTGTTTTGAATGCGTTGGAGTTTTGCAATTTTTTCTTCGGGCAGGCCAGCGAACAGTGAATTGCAATAATCAGTGCGTGACAAAATGAAGGCAAACACTAGTTTTTTGGTGGCATCAGTGCTAAGAAATTTCCTTATGTGAGCAATTCTTCTCATTTCTAAGTATGAAATTTTACATAGATGGTTAAGTTGGGTCTCCATGGACAAGTCTTTGTCTAAGTAAACTCCTAGATATTTTGCTTTGTTTGAAAAAGCGACAGTACCTTTGCCAATGGAGAGACATTCTACATCAAGAGCATTTATCTTTGAGCTGGTTGAGCATGGCATGATTTCTGTTTTGTCATCATTTAATTTCAATTTATTTTCAGTCATCCATGCTTTTACAGATTCAAAACATTCTGAGGTGTCTTTTAACAGAGATTGAATATTGTTGAGTTTTGCAGACTTGTAAAGTTGTGTATCATCTGGGTACATATGGTAGGGCATGGAATGGTGTCTGATAGTACGACCAAGGGGTAAGGTGTACATAGTGTACAGCACAGGTCCTAGTACTGACCCCTGGGGCACACCAAATTCCAGCAATTGATGACAGGATTGCATGCCTTCAACAACAACAAAGTATGATCTATCTATATTGTGAGAGTGTGTTTGTGACAATGTATGTTTGTGCTCTCACTGCTGTACTGTTTTGTTGCAATCTTGACAGATGCCCAGACCATTCCATTAACTGTTTATCGATATATTGCAAGCGGAAAATTGAGCATGGGTGGTTGGTGGGTGCTCGGGTGTGGTTTGCTCCCTCTTTCCTATCAAACCCCTATTGTCCTTATCTCTCCTCCTTTTTTGTGTTTCTTACTCTCTTGTAACACCTCTAATCTTCAGCACTTATATGACCTTATTGTATTGCAAGTGCCGTAAAACTTTTACCAAAAAGAAAATTGAGCCAACTTGTTCTCTGACAATCCCTTCAGAAAACTCCAAGAAGCGGGCGGTGGACTCCATCTTTGTCCTGCACCAAAGCGGTCTGTTGACCGAACACTCCCTGGATCCCAAGGCCCGGGCTGCGACAGGACCGGACCGTGCGTCTGACGACTCACCCATCGACCTGGAGATGAAAGGACTGCAGCAGTGGAACTTGCTCAGGTGGGCTTTTTCAGACTTTTTTTTTGGGTGGTATTGTGTGGTATATGCAGAATGGGTTATATCAAAGTAACATGTGATGTATGATATTTCAAAGTAATGCAGATCAAGTCGAATAATTGAACTAGGGAGACAGACACTCCAGGGAATCTGTAGCCCACAGCATGTAGACAGCAGCCAGAGAATAATTAATTTAATTGTAGGTGTTTTTACACCCCCATTGACACAATTAAGGTCAATTAGAAGGTAAGCTTCAGACCCTGCCTGTCGGCGCCAACCCGGACTGAGAGGAATACAACATCCCAGCAGAAAGGCCGAGATACACGATAAAAATTTCTCCCCTCTCTAGAATTTAAGTTGGTCTCCTGTGTGCGATAGCGAAGTGCCTAACCACTACACCACAGACGTTGATGTGAGTGGGATGGACATCTGGACGTGCACATGGAGTGTGTTTGAGACCTGTTTGGTTGAGCTATTTTAGGAAAATTTGAGTGCATTCTAGTTTCTTAACTCATTAAACCTGAGTGGCCGTTTCCAGTAAGCAAAGCTTGTCAGTCTAATGAACGACTGCTCTCACCCGCTGGTCCAATACACGTGGGTATAAAGAGTTTCTTGTCTAAACAGCTGTGACTATGGATAAATTCTCTATAAAGCTTAGCTCAGGGAAGCTACACTCCACCATCTTTATATTTATGTCTGTGCTTTGACCTGAGTGGAAGCACATGTCGTGAAAGTAGCAGAGCATCAGTCGAGTTGAGTTGAAACAAAATCAATTCCGTCAAACAGTGGAAATCAATTCTGGGGTCAGTAAGTTAATCTTCTTTTTCGGCTTCAAGTGCTGGATGTGAATGAGTCATCACCGATTGTGGTTCAGGCTCATATCTGTTCGTTATTTGATTCTGTCAGTGTATGGTTCAGTCATCTACATAATCCACAGAACGTGGGATGAAAATATCGTGCAGATTGGTGGAAAAACATTTCTTTTAAAAACAAGAGCTTATTTAAGTTGAATGTTCAGTCATAACTTTTGTGGAAAATATAACACGCTGTCTCTGTCTAAATGTACTAAGGTAAAAACTATTTAAATATGGGGTTAACTAGGTTTTTATGGAGAAAATTTGCTAAGGAATAGATTTATGTCAAAAACTGGGTTACTGTAAAGACTGACTACACTGGGCTATTTTGGGCTCTACTGCAGAATAAGTTACAAGTCAGTAGTAAGCAGTTCTTCTATTTTTAAGTCAGATGACCTGCTAGACAAGCTGAGGTTGTCTTTATGTCAATATACCATATCGTGCAACTCAACAACCTTAAATTGTGTTGAAGTTTGTGAACTCTATCGCTATGATGCATCTAATATTTAAAATTCCCTGCCATCATAAAATTACAGAGCGTTCACTATAAGCTGTAATTCATGTTTGCCATCTTGAGCTCTGAAAAAAGAACTTATATCAGCATGAGAAAAATAATCAGTTAGTGAATGAGTTCACTCAAATTCAGTGCCCTTTGGCCTATAATGATAAAATAATAATAAAACGGTATTTATATAGCATATTTCCATAATTTACAATGCTCAATATGCTTTTCAAGACTCTTTAAAATATTAGTAGGCAACAATAGGATTAAAACACATTCAGCATTAATGCACAAGAGCTGTCCTGAATACAAGATGCTACGACACATTTCAGGTCAAGGTCGACCCCTGAGGTCAAACCGCCGCTGGCCTCCAACAACCCGCTGGTGGTGGCAGCCGATGTGGTCCAGACACAGTTGCCGTCTGCCGATGCCGCCATTCACGGTGAGTGAAAGAAATAGGTGTGGGTGCTTTTCAACCCCCAACGACACTATCTAGATAACTTAGGAGGCAGGTTTCTTTATTTTTTTCAATGTAGGTGTTTTTACGCCCTCATCAACACAATTTACATAACTTAAGAGGCAAGTTTCTGACCCTGTCTGTTAGGGCCAACCCAGGCTGAGAGGGATACAATATCCCAACAGAAAGACAGAGATACTGATATTGTGGCAATGCACCTTTCTTTACTACCCCCCTCCCACACACACACACACACACACACACACACACGCTCACACACACACACTCATTTATCAGATCAGATGGAATGGGTGATTGATGTGTGCTTGGGTGTGGTTTGCTCCTTCTGTCCTAATAAACATATGTTATCATTATTTCTCCTTTTTATTTTCTCTGTATGTTACTCTCTAGTAACGTTTCTAATCTATGGCGCTTACATGACATGTTGTGTTGCAAGTGCCGTATAACTTATTAAATTGAAAAATAAAAAGAACAGATGGACCCAGAACAGTACCCAAAATGTTGTGAAGTCGTACTTGGTCATGTCTAATTAAGTTTTGGTGAACTTTTGGCTTAAAAGGCCATATGTCAAATAACCTTACACACACAACGAGCCTTATAGTGTAATGCTTAAAGATCTATAGTTGAGCAAATCTGAGTTACGACTAGTCCTGTCTGTGCATTGAAAGTAGTGTAGTTATAAATAATAACATGGTTGCAGAGAGAAAAGTTGTGTCCTTGTGTGTCCAGCTATTTAGAAATACTGAGGCTTGTACTGCCGGGCCAAGGCAGACCGAGGTATCTGCAAAAATTATCAATCTTTGCATCTTCATTTAAATGGACGCCTGTACCCATTCTGCATCTTGTTTCAAAGGCAGGAAGACGTTTCTGCACTACAAATAGGATGTTTCCCTATAGCAAACAGACGTAACTGAAGGGCCATGCCCATATTTCCAATGGCTGCGCAACGTAACTCAAAATCATAAAAAGTGCAAATACGTCGCTCTGCCTTGGCACGGCAGTGTAGAGATATAAACCAGGCCGAAGGGCTAGAACCCAGCTGGCCCCTGGATTGGAAAAGTAAAGCAGAGATACAAAGAAAGAGATAGGGGGATGAAGACAGGGGAAACTGGGAGGGGGAATTTAGAGGGAGAGAGGGGAATAAAGAATTGTGAATTAGAGAGAGAGAGAGAGAGAGATAGATTCAATGAGAGAGAGAGAGAGAGAGAGAGAGAGAGATAAGTGGTAAAGGCCAAAAGAGACAAAGAAACAAGACAAAGCTAACCAGTTACTTTCTAAAGCGTACACTACAGGGGAGGGCTCTCGTTTCCTAGAGGTGTAAAATCGATAAGAGTCGGCTTTGGCTCCACCTGGGCTGAATTTGAAATCTCCTACCGACTGAAAATGTTTTTTGTGTTTAATGTGTCCTGCACACTCATATGACCGTATGCAGTTTCGATTGCCATAAAATACTTACCAAAAAAAACACCGAAAAACAAAAGCAAACCAAGAAAAACCCCCACTACAGATTAGCCAGATGATTTTAACATTTGTATTCTGAAATGAAGACCAGTTTTACGACATTTGGGTATTGTTCTTGAGTTCATCAAATTGCTTTAAGAGCATATTAGGACGTGAAAATTTTCCCTCAAAACTAAAGAAAGTTTGATCTACATGTACATAGACGTGGGCGAGCCAGAACCTCCCTCGGTGAGCCAGCACAGCCCCAAGGACAGCTTGACCTCTGGTGACCACCACAGTGGGCGGACAGCGGTGGAACAGGGCAGCCGGAGGGTGCTGGATGAGCAGTGGGTGTCCCAGGTGAGTGGGTTTTGCTATGATATTATTGATCTCTTCATGTGTTGGAGGTGTGGAGGGGGGGGGGGGGTCTCGTGGTCTAGAGGTGCGGTGTTTGCCTCTTGGTCTATAGGTCCCGGGTTCAAAATCTGACCTTTTCTTTCTCTAAAATGTTCTGCTTTCACCTCCTTTCCTGCTCTCCAACCTGTTCTTTTGTCTACTTTCATCTCCCCTTTCTTTGTGTGTCTCTCTCTCTCTTTAACACCTCTAATCTTCTGGCGCTCACATGTTTTCAAGTCCCTTAAGGTGCGAGCATTTCGCTCTTGGCAGCGCAATGCCTTCCTCAAGTAACCACATGTCCTTGTCATCTGGTCAACGCCAGAGTAGAGCAAGCTTTGTAAGTCTGTAGGTGTGTGTAGGAGCTTGCGTCGAAGAACTGCCAGGTTTGGGCAGTGAAGGAGAAGATGGTAGTCCCAGTGTCTGCAATGGGGTTCCCACATGGGGTTGATTCTGTTTATGTGTGGCGCTGATATGACCTTATGCAGTTGCGAGCACTGTAAAATCTCCACTAAAACTCTCTCTCTCTCTCTCTCTCTCTCTCTCTGTCTCTCTCTCTCTCTCTCTCTCTCTCTCTCTCTCTCTCTCTCTCTCTCTCTCTCACTGTCTCTCCCTCTTTCTCTCTTTATATGTATTTACATACATATGTACGTGTATGTCCAGGTGGAAATCATCACCCACCAAGGCCCTCACCGGCGTCTCTGGATGGGCCCACAGTTCTCCTTCAAGACCTACCAGAGCCCTCAGAGCACCACGGTCCTCTCCTCCTCCTCCTCCTCCCTCTTCTCCAGCAGTCCAGAGGCCAGCGGTCAAGTGACCACCATGGACATACTGACCGATGACTGTGACCTGGACAGCCTCAAGTGAGTGATGGTCAGCTTGTTGGGTACATGAGTGGTGACAGGTGGATAGATAGATAGATAGATAGATAGATAGATAGATAGATAGATAGATAGATAGATAGATAGATAGATAGATAGATAGATAGATGGTTAAATTTGTAGAATGATGAATGGATGGATAGAGGGAGGAAAACAGGGGTAAGAGAGAGAAGGTTTTTTTTTAAAGTAGAGAGATGTAAATATTGGGGTGAGGAGAAGGGAGAGAAAGAGAGAGAGGGTAATAGAAAGAGAGAGAGGGTGAAAGAAAGAGAGGTTGACAGAAAAAGAAAGAGAGGTTGACAGAAAGAGAAAGAGAGAGAGTTGGAAAGAGACGGCATCCTGTACAGTCTCAAGTGAGATCTGTTGCTTACCTAGATGGTGATGGGTGGGTGGGTGGATAGAAGCTTGACAGATGGATGGATGGATTGGTTGGTGAATGGATGGGTGAATGGTTAGAAGATTGATAGATGGATGATTAGGTGGATTGATAGATAGCCAGAGATAATAAGAGAGATGAGAGACAGAGGAGGAAACTTCAAGACAGAGGGTGAGACAAGAAGAGAACTACCTGATCATCTGTCACCTGTATACATCTGTTGTGTCCACCAGACTACACCCCAGCCGGTCAAGCCCTGTGGCCATGCCCAACACGCGGCCGGCGTACACACGATCCTCCACCACTGAGTGGATGGCCAGCCCAGGTCGCAGTTACAGCAGTGGACCCTTGTACATTGAGGCAGGTCGGTCCCATCTGGATGTGCTGTTTATGTGTTGTATGTTGTATGTCATTGTTGTGTGTTCACATCTTTTCTCTCCTTATGCTTACACACAGTAGCACATAGGTTGGTTCCATCAGGATGTGTTGTTTGTGTGTTATTGTTATATGTTCAGATCTTTTCTCTCCATGTACATACACATCGACTCTTTAACCCCAACGTCAAGTCTGTGCTCCTCTTTGGCTACGAAACTTGGAAGACAACAAAGACAGTACTGAATAAAGTCCAGACTTTCATCAACAGATGTATGAGGAGTATTCTAAGAATTAAGAGGCAGGATAGAATAAGAAATGAAGAGCTGTGGGAAAGGACAGCACAAAAGGATATAGAAGTAGAAATAGGACTAAGAAAGTGGCGATGGATGGGAAACACCTTAAGAAAGCTCAGCAGATACATCACAAGATAGTCACTGCAGTGGAACCCACAAAGAGCACAAGCCAGGGGTAGGCCACGGGAAACATGGAGGAGATGCGTGGAAAGGGACATGAGAGAAATGAAGCTCACTTGGAACGAGCTTGGAAGGATGGTTCAGGACAGAGATAAATGGAAGGAGCTTGTATGTGGCCTTTACCCTGCCAGGTGTGAAAGGCATTGATGATGATGATGACATACACCCCGTTATACATCAAGGCCGGTTTATCCCATCAGGATGTGTTATTTGTGTGTCATATTTTATATGTCATTGTTGAATACCCAGAGCTTCCTTCTA